ATTACAACTTGTATAAAGTCTGAAAAGTATCAAGTTTTAACTCTACTAACAAGGAACTTGCGAATAGAGTAATCGAAATAATTTTAATTTTGTTCCTAGGGATTCTATTTAACAAGCATTATACAGTTTTGGAATCTACGAAAATCGCATTACCGAAATCTGTCCTTATTATTAGTAAAATACTGTATATTACAATATAAAATATTAAAAATAATTCCTGATCTGGGGAAATCTCTGGCATGTACATAACGTAATTATACGTTTTCATAAAATAATTCTTATAAATATTGCGTAAATATCTAAACGAATATTACTTAATAATGATTTAAATAAGGATATCTATTTAACTGGAATCTCAAGATCAATATTTTTATACCACAATTTATGAAAGTGTTCTTTGTGTAAAATATGTTCAATTAGCTATTTTGTTGTAAATGCAAGAAATGCAAAGATATTGGCGTAAACAATAATGTATGCAAATTTATGCACCGCATTCCCTTTTCTTGCCCTAATTGATATTCAAGTTTCACCTCTTTTTCATAAAAATTATACATATCATACATTCGGAAAATTTACAATTATACATAACTATTTTACTTATGTATGAATTTGTATGGCATTTAATCAGAATTTATGAGTTAATTAGCCATTAACAAACATATTGAAAATAAAAAATAAAAAAAATGTTTATTACCAAGAGATCCTGTTTCAAAACATCACAAAATCCTGACCTGTTAGATTTTTCATATTTTGAACTTTCACTACCTTCTTCACTCTCTCTCTCTCTCTTTACCAATTAGACGGGAGAAGCATTTTTTCTTCATTAGGTGGAGTTTCTTAATTTGAGTATATTTTTTAAACGATTCTTTTGTATCAGACTGCTCTTCTCTAAAAACAAGGTATAAATATATGGTAATGATGAAAAGATCATAAATTCCAGCTAGAGTGATACAAATAAAGATATTGGTGTGTTGTTATAAAAATTTTTATTGCCAAGAGTTCCTCTGTTTTAAAGCATCACAAAATCGCGACCTGTGTTAGATTTGTCACTTTCTGAACCTTCACTACCTTCTTCACCTTCTACCAATTCAGACGAGGGGAGCTTTTTTTCTTCAATTTGAGTATGTTCTTTAAGTGATTCCTTCGTATCAGACTTCTCTTCTCTAGAAACAAAGTACAAATATATGGCAATGATACAGAGATCATAAACTTCAGCTATAGTGATACAAAAAAAGATATTGGTGTATTGTTATAAAGTTACTTACAATTGTGTCGAGCATGTTTCTTCAGTATCAGAGTCTTTTTCCTTCTTTTTCTTTTTTTTATTAACCTTTTTATCACCTTCAGATATAGGACCATAATATTCATACTGAAAACAAAATTTATATATAACATGTATTCATTAAATAATGAACAATGAAAAACTGATATGTACTTGATAAAGTGGCCAGAAAGAAGCAAAGAATCCAACATCTGCAGTCAAATTAGGCAAAAGCCAAAGATGACATCTGCCAAGTGTTGGAACCCACAAAAGGCAAAATGCAATCAATCTACAAATTGCTAATGTCAAAATGAATACAAGGAATACAGCAGCTGCAACACTTATATAATATACACCTTGACGGATTGTTAAAGGCCACAATGGGAAAAGACAAACACCAATTGCACCTAAAACTACAAGTGTTCCAAAGAACCAGTAGTATATGGGTATTGGCTCATATATCCAAACATAAGCATCATTACAATCCACAAAATATTGATCCATATGCATTTCCAAACGTACCTAAATAAATTAATAACTTTAAAAATTCTGTTTTATTTTATTATATTTATAAATTAAATATACCTCTTTTCTTCAACTTTGTCATCACTATCTTTTCCACCTATTGTATCCTTGTTTTCTTTAGATTCTTCTTTCTCTTTCTCATTAGATTTCTTTTCTTTTTTATGTTCTTTAACTTTTTTTTTTATTCCACGTATTTTACATAACTCCTCTTCAGAAATTACTACTTTTTTTGCTCTATGAAAAAATTTATGTCTTAACATTGAATTAAGAAATTGTGTGACCTGTTCGCGTGTTTCAAATCTGGTTTTACTCCACGGTGAGTTCTCCAATAAGGCATCCACTGCACGGGTGCCAGTGAAATATTCAACATTGTGATTTTTATCAAATTTCGTTTTCTTTGATGGTACATTGTTACGGATCCATTTAGCTACTGCATATTCATCTTTACATGGTTTCTCTTCAGCAGCTTCATTATCTGCATTTGATATATCCTGCTTTGAAAAATTAAATCTTAATTTTTGACACTTTTAAGATATTTTATAAATATCTAATTAATAGATATCTATTGGAAAACTTAACACGGACTGTAAATTGAAGACATGTTGTTTGTTATGCATACAGAATCTTAATAACAATATGAATTTTGTTGTTACAGGTGATAATTAAAATTTACAGGAATACAATTGAAATAATTGTAGAACTTCTGTACAAAGAATACATTTAGCATAGATATTAGATTTTCAAGAAGAACAAAATAAAGTAATTTATTAAAGAATATGTTAATTACATAATTTAAATTAAAATTTTAAGTAGAAAAAATGAACTATTTTTACTACATCATCCATTTATCTATCTTGAACACTTATTCATATTGACACATGCTTTAAATTAATAAAATAAACTAACTACTTCCTGTCATTAAATGAATACCATAATACATACATATATACTTAGAGATCATGTCTTTAAACATGTATTGAAGATACACATGTACCCACGACACATGTATGTGTATTAGGGAATTAAAAATCCGTGTTCGTAATACACGAGTACACGTATATTTAAATACCTCTGTGTGCATACGTATTAACATATTTTAATTCGTGTAATTTTTAGTACACGGATACCCGTGTATTTAGAGATTTTTATTTCACGTATATTTAAATACGTATCCGTATTTTAATTCGAGTAATTTTTAATATGACATATAGATACCCGAGTAATTAGCGAAAACAAAATATAGCTTTATAAATTGCCAGGTTGCAGATAACAATAACAAATGTCGACAGAGTACAACAGGAACAGAGATAAAAAGAGATAAATACACATGAAATAGAGATCTTTAAATACACGGGTAACCGTGTACTAAACATTACACGAATTAAAATACATTAATATATCTGTACACGAGTATTTAATACACGTACATATGTATTAAATACACGGGTGCCTGTGTAGTAAAAATTACATGGACGAGTACGGTTACGTTTAATGCACGTATACATGTATATTTAAATACACGTATATTTAAATACACGTATTACGTATATTTAAATACACGTGACATAGGGACCTCTAATATATACTCTTCAAAAATATTGGAATAATTGCAGCCATATGCGATGCTTACATCTTTGCGTTTCCTGCTTTTCCTACGTTCCGCCATGTTGTAAATTTCGTTTTGCGCTTGCGTGCTGACCCTTATATACTCAGTAGAAGCAACAAAGGTAGCATGTGCTTCTGTGGCGGTCAAGCAATAGCTTCTAAAATCTACCACACAGCGGCGCAAACATCGTGACAGGAAAAGGCCTGCACACACCGGTCGGCGAAAAATGATTATGTAAACTCGCCAAAACATAAGATTGACGCTCTTAGAAAACTGACACCGTGTGAGTTCCTTGAGATTCGAGTCATTCCACGACAAATCGCACAGAATTATGGTCATAGTCACCGATTTTTTTCAAACTTACAAGATTTGTTAACACCTTTGAGAAACGAAACTGTATAAAATTTTAGCTTTCTATCTCGAAGGACTTTTAAACTATTTAATGTTGAAATTATGGAAAATTAGACGAAGTGACCTAACATGTCAGCACTTGAACCGTAATATTTCGAATTCGTTTAAAGATAATGCATTCCTCTTAGGCTCATTTTAAAGATAAAGAAATGGTCTTTTCGAATATATACATAAAATTTTATTTATTATCAGTAAACATAACAATAATCGCTGCTAAAGATTCAAGTGCTGATTTGACGCTGTTTTCACCCATAGAACTATTTGACAAAAGTACCATTAGATTGCTTGAACTTTAACCTGTAAAATAATCTTCTCAAAAAGATGGAACCATTTCGGGAACATTTAAAAAAAAAAAAATAAAGTTTATCATGATGCACGTTGTTTGGCGCCATGCTGACACCATGGACAGGCGCAGTTGCCGCGCATGCGTACCGCATTCAATGTATCCTTTTCCAAGCCAGATATCCCGCTGAAACACTTCTGGAATTTGTACATGTACACAATAGCGAATATTGTCCAGGAAAATAATGTACTATCACTCATAGATCTGTACCCACGGTCTAAAAAAAAATAAGACTTGCAGATCCATCTTTATCGTTATTTTGCTAATTGTTCCCGACAAGGTACCACTAATGTAAAATTACCTCCTTATTCATTGATCCTTCGTCTATAGAATGTAAGTTTTTAAAATATGGAGCAATGCAGTAAATAAAATTTTATGTACATATTCGAAAAGAGCGTTTCCTTATTTTTAAAATGAACCTAAGAGGAATGCATTATCTTTAAACGAAGTCGAAATATGTATTACGGTTTAAGTGATGTACGGTTAAGGCGGTGACACTGTCGCAAATCGCTCGTCTGCACCTGGCCTTAGAGTTATGTATAGATTAGCATTTATAGAATTTAAAAGAATAAAGTTTAAAATTTATAAAATTACACATCTATGACTATGGGATAAGATGACAATATATGTATATAAGTACATAATATATAAGATTTTCAGATCGATTCTTGCAAAATCAATTCTTTGATTTCGATTTTTTAAAAGAATCGGTTTTCATGATTCGATTCAGAATCGATTCATGAATCGATTTTTTAAAGTGAATCGAACATCCCTACTCTAAAGAGTTCCTTGCCATTTTCGTTTGACTTCCAATGTTACCTTTTGTTCGGGGCTTTGGGGCCGAGAAGACTCTAACCATTTTCGTGTTGCTACCAACGTTACCGATTCAGTGTAGAATAAGATTACAACATTCGTAGCGGTTGGAATTGGAATTAAATGTAACTATGAAATTACAAATAAGAAAGTAACGCAATTGCTTATTAGTAGATGATTCATCACATGTGTGTGTTCTACTGTTGTCAGAAGATCCTGAACAATTCACACACGCAATCCAATGTATGTATGTATCTTTATATGCAAATTTAATAAAAGAGGATTCTTTA